TCTCCACTCTTTCATAAAGTAAATTATATATCCCTATTTTAGAAACTTGAATAAATCTAGTCATCTGATTGGTCGAAACTGGAGTCGTGATTTTAGCCATACCCGCCTACCGGTCAATAGTTTTTTTTTTAAAGTTGCCCGTTGCCCCGGAGAACGGGCCGCATACATATATTTTGCAACATCTGGACAATGTTACCAAGTCCCTTTAATATAAATTTCGTACATTTTGGGGTCTCAAATTACCTTCATAGCAATTTTAGGTCCTACAAGGGCACTAGAAATGTCATAAATAAGAATAAGAGCAATAAACATGCACTCTGCAGGCATACACGGTCTTAAACAAGAGCTTAATTAAATGGATAGTTGAGTTCTGTTGCAGAGGGCGCTACACAAAATATTTTTTTGTGAGATAATGCAAAACTGAGTGTCAAATTTGAAAGAACATAATATATAAGTGACAAAATCATCTTTGTTTGATCAAAATTGGTTCAGAGATGGCTGAAATGTAACGATTTCTAATACTTGTGTACCACCACAAAATATTAAATATTTTGAAAAAAATTGAAAAAAACGAAATAATTTCTTTTACGTCGTATTTCAGCCAATGCCGATGTTGGTTTTTTTTATGGCATTTTTGTGTTGCTTATATTAACCACAATTAGCCGGCTCATGTATTGTTATTTTTAATGAAATAATTAATTAACAATCACCATGTTTTTTTGAAAGTGGAGCTGAATTAGTATGATCGTATTGGCTAAATTTCACACATCTTGGGGTCTAAAATTACCTTCATAGCAATTTTAGGTTCTAAAAGGGCACTATAGATGTCATAGATAGAATAAGAGCAATAACCATGCACTTTGAAGGCATTTGAGGTCTGAAAACAGAACTCAACTATCCCTTTAACTATCCTTTAAAATTGTTGAATTTGAAAAATCGTGTAATGAAGAGGCTGAGCTGAGTGGATACGTTATTTGATCTGTGTTGTACTGAAGCGCGGGTGTAGTGACAAGTGGAAACAAAACATAACTTGCACATCGTAATCAACTGCATGCAACCTACCAATTCATGAGTGTTGTACTGCCAAGACTAAAAGAACAGGACTAAAGTAATTTAGTTTAAAATATCCTCTCGCTTTTGACGAATTCTATGACCGCAAGTAGTTGTTGTTGTTGTTTTTTTCTCTTATCCTCAAGCGAGGTTTTTATTTCCATAATAGTAATACATTTATACATTAATAACTCAATGATTGAGTGAAACCTAACATAGGCTAAAGTACATTCAATTATTCTTCCAGCTTAGAATTATTTTCTTTGTTAACACATTTATATCTTAAAAATGATCTTAGCAACGACTTGAATTAAAAAAACAAAGTATGTGGGTAGTAAACAGAATCATTAACAATCTTCTTAACGTGACATTTATAAATTGCATATTGCGCATAATTTAAAATAATATTCAGAAGTGAATATTTCTTGTTTCCAATATCCTTACCTACAACTATTATCTTCTGGTCTATTTGTATTTCTATTTGGAATAGATTAAATATCAAATTACATATTATTTTCCAAAACAAAGTCACATCCTTGCAATATAACATAACATGAAAAGTTGAGTCAACTTGTCCACAAGAGTTGCATAAATTATTATTAACAATTTGCCATTTATATAAGTTTTCTTTTGAGGCAATAAACCTATGGATCATCTTGAAATTGAATTGTCTAACTTTGTTGTTACGAATTTGCTTTAATTGAAATAAAAATACATCTTTCCAAACAAACTCATTATCCAAATCTAAAAATAAATTCCAAAAGTAAATGAGATTTGGTTCTTTTGACTCTTTACGTAATAACAAGCTATAGTAATCTTTCACTTTCATAACAAAAACATTCACTTTATCCCCTGTTTCTATTTCTATCATATTCGAAATATTACATTCTTGTTCAAATTCATAGCTTAATCTATCCAACCAACACTGTGGAAATGCTTTCTTTAATTTTGTATATTTAAAATCAAATAAGAGCTGTTGTGCTTTCACTTTTATATTTAGTATTGTAGAATCATTCCAAATACCATTTGTAATCAAATTATGAATTTTCAATAAACCGACCTCTTGCCATTCTTGATAAAACAGTATTTTTTTCTTAAAAGTAATGTTACTATTTTTCCAAATAATTTAATTTGGAATATTTCTTACTTTAAACATATCGATGAATTTTAGTTCTGACCAAGTACAAAAAAGATCTACATAGAATTCTGGCAAATTATGTTTAGTGCATTATAAATTCATATCCTTTATGTTACAGTTGAAATGTAAACATAGTGGCAAACCCCCTATTTTGTCGGACCAGTATCTAAACATATTTTTTCAATAAGAGCCATTATCATTAAAAAAAACGAGATATCCATGCCAAACGAAGTGAAGATATTTTACTAGCAATATCAATCATATTCAATCCACCATTTTCAATATCACTTATAATTACATTACGTTTAATTTTATCTTTTTTGGAGTTCCAAAAGAAGCAAAATAATAGTCTGTTCAATATCTGTGAAATATGTTTTGGTACTGGTACAACAGTTGCGGTATATACAATTTGTGACGCCGCTAACATTTTCAAAACAATTATTCTGCCATAAAAAGTAGATCTCTCATTTTCCACATATTTAATACATTTCGAATTTTATCTATTTTTACATTCCAGTTTAAATCTTGTAACAATTTCTTATTTTCGCCTACATATACTCTTGGATATTTTACAGGTTGATCAGTATATATATATAATGGCATTATCATGAACAAAATTATCTACAGTATTCAGTTTCATAACTTCTGTCTTATTCCAATTTATTTTCGGACCTGCATAGTCTCCAAAATCGTTAATTTCATTCATAATATATTGTATATCATTAACAGATTCCACAAATAATGTTGTGTCATCTTCATATTGGGAAATTTTTAAACTATCAATACCTAAAGTAGTTGTTGTTACATTTTTGACGGAACCCTTCTGTTGTCTGTATTTTGTTTTAATGCAAAATGTGATAATGGGAAGGGTCGGTGACTGCTTGTTTACTTGAAAATGCACCATTATACACGACTGCATTCAATCTTCTATATTCACCTCATAATCTGATATTTCTCAATTTTACAGTACGTAAGTATGTACATGTAGATATACATCAAAGTACTTTAATACGATGTCATGATACTATACGGGGGCAAATGTTATCATTATTTCAGTATTCTGAAACTAATATGTATATTAAAAACACTAAGGAATAATGGTAATGCATTCATAAAATGCATTCCGTGTATGTAAGTAAATAATCATATGCATGTAGGCAAATATATACAAATTGCGAAACATTAGTGTGATTCGTCTTCATGTTCTAGGCTTATGGGTATTGTAATTGTAAATTTATTGTATCTTGTAACAATGCCAATGGAAAAAGAATGTGTATGTATAATCATGGATCAATACAGATGAAACGAAATCAATGAAAATGAAGTTATTATAATCTTTAGAATGGCAAAACTTAAGTCTAAACAAAATTTGGACAATATAAGCTAGAACTTACCCGTAGAAGCCATTATCTCTTGAGAAGTAACTTTCACCCAAAACTCGTCGTACTTTAGAACAAAGGTCGCCCTAAGGGAAAGACGTAACGTGCAAAAAGCAGGTCAACATTTATTTAAAATCTACTAAATTCGAAAAATATTTAAATCTCAATCCGTACCCAACGAGATGACAATTCATTGTCGTTATTTACGAATAGGTTAATTATGTCCCTACATTTGTCTTTCCCTCTGTCTGAGTTAACTCGAATTTTTTGATCTTATTTTTGTTTTGGGGTTACATAGATGAAAGTGAGTTGGCCTATCCTACATTCATTTCATATTATGTAACATCACAAAGTTATTTCGTCCAAATCTATATAAAAAAAAATAAGTGGAGCAGCTGCACCTACTCCCCTTGATTAGAGGCCTAGAGAAAAAGAAAAATACCAAGATCAAATTGTACATGATCTTTAAAAATTAACTTGTTTTGCTTGTTAAATATTTTGACTTAATACTTTCGCCACTCGAATAAACTTGATTTCACAAATACCTGCCCATTATAAAAATACTTCTTCATCCCCATCGCTACTGAAAACAACACTAAGAAGCCCAGCCTGTCCTCCCCCTCTCTCCCCCCACAACTTCCCTTTTATGATTCCCGATCAGAATGCGTCATAAGCAAATATAACAAAAACGATATTGTAAGATGAAAGACTTGAATAAATATATAGTTGAATGAATGAGTAAATAAATGGACCAATAAATCATTAAATTAAAGAAAATAAACAATATTTTGAAAAATAATGAAATGAATGAATGATTTGATTAATATGCGAATAACTGAATATATAAATAAATAGATATATAAATATAGGCTATGTATAAATGAATATAAGATAAATGGATTTAAAAAAAAACATATTTAATAGTAAATGAATGAATGAATGAATACATAAGCAAATAGATAAATACTACTGAATAAACATAATGGCCCGAATTCACAAAGCAAGGTTTGAGCTCAGACCAAGGTTTGAGGTCAAACCTCCTTTTGTTGCGCCAAACCTCCTTTTGTTATTTACAAACCTGGTTTGTAAATAACAAAAGGAGGTTTGGCGAAACAAAAGGAGGTTTGAGCTCAAACCCGGTCTGAGCTCAAACCTTGCTTTGTGAATTCGGGCCACTGAGTGCAATTTGTGTGTCCAAAATTGAAGTCTCCAATTTTCTGTCCGCCTCTATAATATTAGTTTAATTTAATTCCGCCAGTAAAAAGTGGTGTATTGACTCTTTTTCTTGAAACAATAGAAATAAATACATTAATTAATTAATTAATAAATGAATGAAAGAATAAATAAATAAATAAATAAAGGTATGAATGAATAAATAAATGAAGGTATGAATGAATAAATAAATGAAGGTATGAATGAATAAATAAATGAACTCACGTAAAAATAACGTTCCCGACATTACTACCAGGAGCGGTCCAGGTAAAGGATGTTCCAGCCTCTTTGGGGGCGGAGCTTGTATGGGTAACGCTGTCTCCAGGGCCGGTGCATTGGATAAGTTTGGTGTTAGGCGGTGGGTCGCTGAACGTGCCGACCAGGGTGTCGTCCGCCAACCGAGCCTGCAGGAGAATACCTTTGAATGATCCGCCGGTGACGGACACTGAATTAGGGAAAACAGAGTCCGGTCAATAATTATATAGCCAAATAGATAAATAGAACAGATACGTGAACGTAATTCATTTGATAATAATGATGATAATAATCATTATTTTGTTTACCCATCAGGAGAAGCCTCATCAGCATCAAAACTGTTCTTGCAGATGGTACAATTATGTTTACCCCCAGCAAATAGCAGGTACCATTAACACCTGCATGAAGAGTGTCCAAAATATAGATTAAAGTCTTGCCAAAGGACTTTAGACCCGTGTGCGATTTGAACCTTTAATCCTTGGATTGAGAGTCAAGTGAACGAACTACTCTACCACGACATCTCCTTGACATCTCGTTTAGCCCACCGCACACTATACGACCCGACTGCGATTCGATCTCGGAAGAATTTGCAAAACAGCATTATTTTAATATGAACATTTAAACATGTAAAATCTTAATGACCAAGGGTTTGAATAGTCATATGAATAAGAAAATCTAAATTTCAAGGGATTCCAAGCTTCCCTCTTCCAACCTTGGAAGAGGGAAACCTAAATAATACGTTAGACTAAAATAGCGACTGTCCTCGATTTTAAGCCGATTAGGTTTTTCTTCTGGCTAGAAGAGTTCAAAGCATTTAAATTCTTGTTGTTAGTATTCTTATAATTCTTCGATTTGTTTCCATAAAACTCTCGACAGGTGAACAAAAACGTCTTCATTTCGTTCTGATCTCCGACAAGACAACAACAACAATAATACATTTGCCGAAAAAGCCAACATTCTGAGGGGGTTGGGTATAGCCTACCGTGCTAGAACTGCACCATTTGAGCAATGTCCATTATACTTACACTGTTAAAAATTTCACTGTAGAAATTACAGTAAATTACTGGCAACTTTGTTGCACAGTAAATTACTGTAACTTTGACATTACAGTAACTTCCTGTAAGTTTTTCAACAGTAACTTGCTGTAAGACATTAAAATACTGTAAGCTTACTGTAAAGAAATTTTCATGTATAAGGTTACAGTATTTATTGTAAGTTCTTCTTACAGTTAATTAATGTAATTTTATTCACAGTAATTTAAATGTATTTACAGTTATGTACTGTAAGTTTTTCTCTACAGTAAATTAATGTTATTTCTCTCATTTACATTAAGTTAATGTAATAAGTACAGCTTTTCTACTGTGACTTTAGCAGTATCATCCTGTTAATTTTGTATCTATTTCTCTCATTTACATTAAGTTAATGTTATAAGTACAGCTTTTCTACTGTGACTTTAGCAGTATCATCCTGTTAATTTTGTATCTATTTCTCTCATTTACATTAAGTTAATGTAATAAGTACAGTATTCTACTGTGACATTAGCAGTATCATCCTGTTATTTTGTTATCTATTTCTCTCATTTACATTAAGTTAATGTATTAAGTACAGTATTCTACTGTGACATTAGCAGTATCATCCTGTTATTTTTTTAAATCTATTTCTCTCATTTACATTAAGTTAATGTAATAAGTACAGTATTCTAACTTGACATTAGCAGCATCATCCTGTTAATTTGAGGAAAAAACAAGCTTTCTGAACACAAAAATCATTATTAAAGTCTTTATTGGGTAATCAACGCTCCATAAAACAAGTTTCTCAAATAGTGTAACATTATGAAAATGCTTGCAAAGAAACTATCAAGTAAAACATTAAAACAAGTAAAACCATTAAAAACTGCAAAAGTTCAAGTACTCAAGAATCTACAGACCCATAGTCATCCTTCCAGTATCTCAAAAATTCTTGAAAAAATTGTTTAGATTATACCAATTCTGAAATACACATAACTTGCTTAATCCCAACCAATATGGCTTTAAAAAAAATCATTCACCCGACCTAGCATTAATTTAATTATACGACAGAATAACACATGCAATTGTGCAGACATAGCGGCTTTAAGGCATTGATATGCTAAATCACAACGTATGGCTTAGGGGCACTGCACTTTCTTGGGTCAAAAATTATTTGTCGAACAGACAACAATATGTTCACTTTAAAATTCTGAATTGTAAAAAAACTATTGTAAAGAATTATCTTCAATTGTAAACAAGACATATTTTATACACTTTTATCTTCCTTTAAAGCCACTATTAAACGACAACTACTATCAGAATACAATCAATGAAAAGTCTCCATATACCTGGCAGAATCAAGGAAAACTCTCTATACCTGGTAGAATCTCTCCAAAAGACATTACTCACTTTATTTTTGTTTAATTTATCTTTTGAACTAATACCCCATTTAATTTGAGTTGCTCTGTTATATTAAACTTGTAATCTTTAATACGTGTTTCATATTCTTCTGTATTTTTGTCTCATTTACATGCCAATTCTGCACAGAAACTTGTTTCAACTTCATGAGCTGTCATTCAATTGATTGATTGATTGATTTATTGACGGTAAAAGCCCTATTCAGCTACTCGGCTGGTTTACAAAGGGGCTGTGCAAAATAACAAAAACCGTAAAACATACTTGACAATAAGAAAATATACATGATATACAGAAATTAATGAAATAGAATTACCAATGTGCACAATGAACAAAGAAAATAGAAAATATGATCAATTTGTGTACATGTAAAATGAAAACATAAAATTATGAAATTCGTTTAGCTACAATATTGCTACGTATTAAATATGATAAAAAAACATATTACCATATAACGTAACATATATCGTAATAAAATATAAGTTACTTAAAAAAAATATATTATTATATAACTTGAAATATGTCGAAATAAAATATAGGTTACTTAAATATAGGCCTAATATTTGGCAAATTCATTTATTTCATGACTTATTAAATTTATTAAAATAAAGGTGTATTGCATGTACAGACTAAAATATATGAAAATTCACTAAGGTAAAATAATGCTAAATTGCAAGTAATGTAAAACATATTTTGGAAAACAGTAAGTAAACAATCAAGCAATGCTTATGATGACAAGGCTGCACACATGCCAGGCTCACAGAATACATGTGCTAATGCTTTGTCTAGGAAGTTCAATGACCGCTAGACACAATTTATTAAAAAAGTTTGGGCTCCCTGTAGTTGGTCTCTTTGCATCAAGGCTAAACACACGGCTTCCTTAATACCACGAAGTCACGTGACTTTTTTAACCTCCCTCACTAACAAAATATTTGATTTCAAATTTCAATTTTCACTTGTGATGTTTCATATTAAGTTCAATTGAAATGCATATTAAAGGTACATGATCCCTTTTGCAAGCATAACATTTGCAAATGTCTAAAAAGGGCAAAAAGACACAAATAAAATTTTAAGAAAGTGTGTGAAAGTAAAGGGTTCAGATACTCAATGTAAGTGGGATTTTTTTTTATTGATAATTTTGAAATTGATGTAGTATGTAGGCGCCCCTGTAATTTGTTCTGAATGTTAGTCTGTACTAAGATACACTTCTTATAATTATACAGAACATGTTATAAATTTTGCAAGAAATGACATTTCCAGTATATATATCTTAAGGCGTATTCAGACTGACTGGAAGTTCGAGAATACCAGGTATTCTGTGATCGGGAAATTTACCCTGATCTATCCCCATCAGTAAAGTACCTAGAGGGGAAAACCCCTTTTTTTCCAGAACAACAGACATGTTGCGATATAAAAAGTACCCCTATATGAGTGGATTCCATGGCCCATGACAAATCTCACTAGGATGGACTACTTTTCCGAACGACTGCACGAGGGTCATCCACGGATGGCATAAAGTTGCCCCCTTATTAATGAAACCACTGGAAATCCGCTAATTTGCGAATAAATGATATCACCTTCTGGCTACATTGTTGTCCATGAGACTTTCATCCCGCGTCTGGATTGATGCCAATCAAGCAACTGAAAAACTGGGCATCTTTTTTTCTTGAAAATGGTTGATGATCCCTATGCACATGGGTTTTGAAGGATGAATAATTTCTGAATGTTCGATTGCAGCCAGGAACACCACACGGGAAATCGAAATTCACCACATTTCTATGGACTGAAAAGTGTTCAGAAAACCGCTTCAATGATCCAGAAGAATGATTACATAGCTTACAAACGTACATGGGTATATGATGTCCATGTAGAGCATCCGTCTGATTAGTGTTTCAGCATGCACACTGTGTGACTTCAGCACTAATCCATGGCATACTGCAAGAAAGAAGAGCGGAAAACAATACCTTTAATATGCATACGTACACATAACTTTTTATGTACAGCATTGACAGATTAAAAGTTATTTAAATGATAAATGAATAATAAAAAAAAAGATAAAGGACAAAAAATACAAAAGAAAATCGAAAGAAAAACATAAATTCATCAAATATAACCAGTTGTCACGAGCCTCCTGATGATGACTGTATGCGAAACCTTCAGCAAAAAAACATTTGATTTCACGGCTATGAATGTTACTACATAAGTGAAATTAACATTCATTTGCGGTAAATGAAACTACAATAGATTTCTGTAAAACAAATTTACAATCCTTAAAGACAAAAATTACTGTAATTTACTGTTAGTATTTGAAGAACCTACGGTAACAGCAATTTACTCTAAGAAATGCAGTGATTTACTGTAGGAAAGTTTACAGGCAGATACTTTGAGTAAAAATTGATGGTAACTTACTGTAGATATAACCTACAGTTACTGTAAATTAAAATTACAGTGAATTACAGTAGACAAGTACTCAAAATTAATATGAAATAAAATTACTGTAATTTACTGTAAACTAGCAGTAAGTTACTGTAAATTACAGTAATTTTACAGTAATTACTCAGTAATTTTACAGTAACTTACTGCCAGTTACGGAATGGCCTATTTGGTTGCTATGACAACGCTGCGACCTTCAAAAAAGTAAATTACAGTAATTTTACAGTAAATTACAGTAATTTTAAAGTAACTTACTGTAAATTACTAAGTAACAGTAAAATACTAAGTAATTTTACAGTAACTTACTGTAATTTTATTTCATATTTTAACTTTTAAGTAAAATTACACTATGCAGCAGGATTGCCAGTACTTTGCTGTAATTTCTTCAGTAACGTGCTGTAGACTACACTACATGAGCTTAGACTTGTGCGTATTCAACTGATCACGCAGTGTGCTCATGATGGACTGATGCTGTAGTCGATCGTAGTGTGTGCGGTGTCCTATAAGTTATAAGTCTTGATGGTCTTGACGTTAGACATTTCCAATTTAACGTGAGCATGCATATCCATGTGCAATGGCATCGCATTGACAGTGACACTGTACGCTGGTACTGCAGTACAGTGTCATGTGCTGCACTAACACTACCGACTCTGTCCCACACACCACAGCACAGCACGTACAGTACACATATACCGTAGACGGAACAATTACAAACACAATCCCTATACTTTCCACAGTCTGACAATTCTTCACTTCAGCGGGATACAAATCAAATCATGACTCTGATAATTGGCAATCTGTAACTTACCTCGGATCCCCTTGGAATTGACTTATTGGTCATCAATATCCCAGCTCGAGGATCAGGACCAGGAACAGAACAGATTCAGATTCGTTGCTCAGGATCAGGCCGGCCAGCTCAGCTATATATCTCAGCTCAAATCTTTGCAGAAAATTAAAAATGGCGGCGCGGCGTGGCGGGCTAGCGCGGGAGCCAATCACGTGCAACGCATACGCGCATATGCAGCCGATCCGCCTAATGCGCATGTGCGCTGTATCCCACAATGCTTTTTGCACGCTCCTTTACACTAGCTTACTGTAGATATTTGTTCCCATGCTCTACGACACTGATGTTTACAGCAATATACTGTACAGCAACGTACTTATACAGTTAATTATCGTAAAATCGTTATTACAACATATTACTGTTGTAAATCACAGTATTTTACTGCATGAGTTACAGCAAATTTTTACAGTGTATATAATCATTTGTTTGTATCGCCCAACCACTTAGTACATAAACATTATAATATAATGTTTATGTACTAAGTGGTATGCTAAATATTATTAAGCATTTGAAAAGTGTCCAAGCTTTTAGGGTAAAAGGAAAATTCATGTGTGAAATCCCTACCGTTGTTACGGTGATTGCATTGTTGACATAATTGGTAGCTGTCTAGAGGCACATTTTTGGCTGTGCCTCTGAAGTTGAATATTGAATTTGTCATCGATTTCAATTGACAATTTTTTTTTACGTCTGTTTTTGTAATCGATGATGCTATAATACTCGCACCATTGCATATGAATGTACTTGGCATTGTTTTACAATTATATAAAGGAACACTGTGCTATTTTTCTACTAAATAATCGATATTTCATCGAAATTTCTCAATCGCTTAACGCATACCTGTGAGCTCTTCAGATGGAGTGTACATGTTCTCGCTGACGCTGAGGACATAGGGACTTTGCCCAGCCTGAGGCGAGATGACCATTTGGTTCTCATTCCAATGGCCCGGTGTCAAGTTCACGCAAGCACCGGCCGGGGCGCCCGATGGAAAGGCCCTGACGAGAGGAACGGCGGCCAGGAATGCGAGAGACCAAAAGTATGACATCTTGGACTTGATACGTTACCGAAAAAGAACAAAAAACAATAGATTTATGCAATGTTGTGAAGACATTTTCACCAAAAATCTAATTTTAAATTAGATTTTTAAAATACAGTTCCATCAGAATTAAAGCTGAAAAATGTATTTTTAAAAAACATGAAAGTCTACAAATAGTCACATTAAAGGGATAGTTGAGTTTTCAGACAGCAAATGCCTTCAAAGTGCATGGTAATTGCTTTTATTCTTATCTGTGACATATCTACTGCCCCTTTAGAACCTAAAATTGCTATGAAGGTAACTTTAGACCCCAAAATGTGTGAAATTTAGCCAATACGATCATACTAATTTAGCTCCACTTTAAAAAAAATACGGTGACCGTTAATTAATTATTTAATTAAAAATAACAAAACATGGGCCGGCTGGTTGTGCGTAATATAACCAACACGAAAAAATGCCAACAAAAAAAGCCAACATTAGGATTGGCTGAAATACGTCGTAAAAGGCGCTATTTCGTTTTTTCAACGGTTTTTTTTTCTTCAAATTATCTAATATTTGTGGTGGTACACAAGTATTAGAAATCGTTATATTTATAGATATTTCAGCCGTCTCTGAACCGATTTTGATCAAACAAAGATGACTTTGTCATTTAAATTGTATGTTCTTTTAAATTTGACAATCAGTTTTTCATTATCTCACACAAAAATTATTTTGTGAAGCGCCCTCTGCAACAGAACTCAACTATCCCTTAAAGAATTAAAAGGGGAGGGGTGTTTCGGATTTAATCATTCCTATGAAGCTATGTTGATTCTTATTTTTTTCTTCTTCTATATGCTACATGACTTGTATAAATCTTTTTGTAAAAAACTATTGAAAAAGAAGAATTTAAAAACGGTTTTTTTAATTTGCAAGTGCTGAGCTTGCAACAATTTTATACGTCTTCAGTTTTCCCATCAAACGAGAAAATGATAAACATATAAAGACGAATGAAAACATGAATACTATCTTCATAATAATGATAATACTAATCATCATCATCATCATCATCATCATCATCAACATATATAATAGTTGGTTCTTTTATAGCGGACACTCTTGCATGGCGCTTCAGGAGTGATGATATTTATATGAATGCTAAAAAAACCGGGATGTCTAAAAAAAAAAATAGAACGAGTTTGGCAACATCTTAAACACCACTCAATCATCCTTATGAAATTTCGCGTTAACCCGTCTCTTCTGCATATTACGGTAAACCTTTGCATTGGCGTAATTGTAACTCCTAATTTCTTGGCGAAATGACCACTTAAACATTTTAGATTCACATTTCATTCGTAAAATGTTGTGACTATATGTGTGTGTGTATATATAGATATATCAAAAGAAAGCATCCCAATAAAAAAATGACTTGTTTACTATCTTCAAATTCATTATCATCATCATCATCAATTACGGGATGTAGGTGTTGGCCGCATGGGCGGATCCAGCCGGTGGTGAGGGAGGAGGCCCAATTCGTGAGAAAAATATTCAACGACGACTCAGCCGACCGGCCGAATAATCTGGGGGGGGGGGGAGGCAGTGAGCACTAATATATATATATATATTTTTTTTTTTGGGGGGGGGGCTCTAATTTTTTCTTCTATTTTGTAAAGGTAAAATTAACATTACCATTTTTTTCAACCTATTTTCTTTTTGGCCAGAGGAGGGGGACGCCCCCCTCCCCCTGGTTGGTCGGTAAATCCACGGTCACTATACGTCTGGCATCGTCACTTGAGAAAGATATTTGTGCGCTTACGGGAGGAGTCAGGGAAGGTCAAAATGCTTATTCAACCTGGCTTTGTCTATCAGCCATTTGAAATGTTCGGTTGTTTTTCTTTGCATTATATCTTTAGACAAGGTGTGTGTACTGAATAATTCATTTCTTATGTCAAGTATAACGAATGTAAGTATGTTTTGTTGACAAAACATCAACAAATCATCTTTTTTGTATTATATTATTGTCCACTTACGGACCAAATATGAAGGGATTTAATCATGGGCACAACATTTCCAAAACAACAAAGAAAACTATTTTTAAAAAACCTTTAAAGGAAAAATTTGATGTCCACTTTGCCCTACATCCGCGGGGGAGAATAAATATGACGTAGATCGAAAGACAAACTACGAACCGCTATTAGAGTTAGGTAATAGACGACTCCAACAGGGAAATGGTGTTCACTTCCTTTTTATTGCGGATTCTGAAGTAAAATTTAATTTCAAAAACGATTCAACCACCTGATGTTTGATAATCTGTGCCCAAAGAGCCAAAATGCTATGTTTTATGGGTCCACCAGTGTTTTTGTTTTGTTTTTTTTAGAAAAAAAATTTTGGCTGAAAAAAAAATGTTCTTTTGGTGTAGAAAACCAACTATGAACAATAAAGTGAAATATGGCATAGGTTAGACCCACACAGGACCTCATGGACCCTGAAATTGCTCCAAAAGGGCACAAAGGACCAGCAACTCTAGATAGTCAAGAGGCCTGCCTTAAACTATTTTTTTCTGTTGTGGGGGGGGGGGGGGTAATAGGATCACAGTTAATCTCTTTTTTCGGTATCAAAATACAATGATACATCCGTGTTGTGTAAATAAGGATTTGATAGACAAATATGTCTCAGGTAGGCAAAATCTTATTTTTAAGGGCCCAAAATGTAACATAAGTTTTTCAAGAGCATCAAACTATAGTAACATGATATGTTTTATTTCGACATACTTTGTGTAATTGTATTATACTAAAGGTGCTTGATGAACTATTTTAAAGTGCAAAAATAGACTAGGAAATCTCCCTGCATGCTTTCATATTTCTACAGATTAATTCCTATTTATAAGAAAAACAGGTAATGTACCATCATAATACTAATAACATGAATTCGAATATTAACGTCACGAAATTCCTTGAATAGACATGCACGTACAATGAACACGATAAACATTACAAAAAGTAGTCAAGGCAGGGTATAAATAATAACACGACGGTATAACTACAATATCACAGCATCCATAAGTGCGGTTATAATTATAAGGTATTTTGTGAGCGAATTTATAACTAAATACTTAACACACACAAAGAAGCATTTTTGTTTAATGTCATGCGGTAGCATCTGCATAAAGAAAAGAAATGAAAGTAAGTAGTTCTTGACCAACACAAAACTAAAAAAAAAAAAAAATAGGAAAAAATAGGAAATAAAATAAGAACCGCAAGTTCATAAACGTGAGTCCAAAATGAATCCGATTGACACTATTTCCAGCTAAATGTATTCAATGGATATATGAAAATGATATAGGACAATCTATTTCTATCGATTTTACTCACCGATTGTTAGCTTCTTTGTGGATTATATAGGAAAGCAGAAGAACAGCGTTTGTTACTGGAGATCGCACTGGGTCCACCAAGTAAATGAGCTAACCAGGAACAAACAGCTGGAGCTGGAAAGTAGGCAGGGGCGTAAATCCCGGGGGGATGGGGGCTGCATCCCCCTGGCTTGAAGTAGGGGGGTGGCCTGTACAAATATCCCCCCTGATATTACAATTAAAAGAGAGAAAAAAAAGGAAGAAGAAAAAAATGTGATTGTTTCAATTTCAGCATAATGCATGAGAAATGAGTTATTTTTGTATGTATGTATAACTGTATAGCCTACACGTATACAGTATGTCACTATCATTAAGAATAGTTGCGCGACGTGTGCGAACAAGCACTTCATACAGTCGCGGATCCAGGATTTTCCAATAGGGGGGGGGGGGGGGCCGGATATTTGAAAATCGCGCAGACCGTTATTTCAACTCGACTTACCAATACTGACAAGGTTATTTCAAAAGCACTGTACCGGTACATACAAGCGGGTACAATTTTTTTTTTTCTCTTGTCCGATATCAACATTCCCCACCCAAGTTTAAGTTATGTGCGAGCAATTTTTTTTACATTTTCATCAGGGGGGGGGGCTGCATCCACTTGTTAAAATATTAATTTTCTGGGTTCACAATTTCGCGAACGAGCGAGCGAGCGAATAATTGAGCATTATGTATGTTGTGAAAGTGTTATTTATCCCCAAAATACGCGAGATAAGACATAAAACAATTGCATATTCGGTCAGGTTGTAATTTTTTAATTTGCGGGGAAAGAGAGGCTGTACCCCGCATTAACTGCAAGAAATGAAATTTGAATGCCTGTGGAGTAAATAAAGAAACAGCTCTAGCTACAACCATGATTACAATGAGAGCTTCCATTTTTTTGGAAATCCAGAACAATTAAACTCTTGTAGTGTTACATGTATATCTGTGTTTCATGACTGTCATAATATATTTAACACTTTCTTTGTATCTTTACATATTTACATTCATGAATGACTTCATCACTAACGGTTCGCTTAAAAATACGATCGTGCCGAGTTGTTCGCTACAACCAATATTGCAATGTGAACTTCCTTTTATTTGGAAATCCAGAACAATTAACTTGTGGTGCTCTATATGTGTTTCATGACTGTCAAAATATATTTAACACTTTCTTTATATCTTCACGTGTTTGTACATGTATTACTTTATCACCCTCGTTCGCTTACAAATACCAAAGTGCTCATATTTCTCCGTATTCATATGAATACAATATAAATATTTTTAACAAATCCGCATCACCACCACTGTAACATGCAGGCCCCGCAGAACGTTTTTCAAAGGAGGGGCTAAAGTATTTACGATCAGGTAGAGCGTAGCGAGAGAAGCGAGTAAAGCGTAACTTGGCTTGGGGTCCAGGGGAAAAAGCCCCAGCGGGGGGTCAAGGGGCAGACCCATCGGAAGCTCAGGAGTTCAGTTTAGGAATTTAATTACGGTCAGATGAGCATATTTTGATACCTTATTGATACCTTATCACTAATTAGCCCAGGGTCCAGGGGACTGAGCCCCATGAAGCTCAGGGTTTTAGGCATTTAATAATGGTCAGATGATTTAATTGCGGTCAGATGGGCATATTTTAATACCTCATTAATTTTGTGGCACTGGCAGGTCACAATTTTTCTTTCTTCCTTTCTTTCTATTTTAATATCTTACACATACTTTTTTCTAGTGAGGGGGTGGCTTGAGCCCCCAAGCCCCGCCGTTCCTCGGGCCCTGACATGTGCCCATGCCTTGAGCCATAATGTATGGCCGTACAGAGGATTTTTTCATGTTGGGGACCGGGGTAAAATGCAATGAATTATTGATAATTTATTGCATTTTGTTATTTTTTTTTATTTGTGGGAACTGCCCCCTACCCAAGCCCCCGCTGCGTACATTCATGGTTCAGTGGCAAAGCAATGGCCTCGTAACTGTGAGGCCCCAGGATCAAAACCGTGTCGATGTGCCATATTAGTGCCCTTTTGTGGGGCATTAATCCTCATTACTGTCATTTATGACTTAAGGGCGTAGGTCCCCTAGTTGATAAGCATATTAGCATACACATGCTTTGGCAGTCACACAAAACAAACACTGGCAAATCATTATTCAATAATATCTGAAAATGTATACTATTATCTAGATCTATTAGGAATAAATTATTTTCAAAATAATTCCCTAAATTGGGGTAAAAAATAAATATTCCAACGTTATGAGCGACAGTTTATATTCTCATAGTAATAACATAATGTTTTTTATCATAATCATACCTTGTCACATCAATACTATATCACATCGTTTCTTTTCATAAAAAACATTATATTCTTACATCACATGATATCGTATCTTATAATAAATATTTTGTTATCATTTCGTGCAATGTTAAGTCAGGTGATATCACATGAATGCAATAACATAAAGATATCATATTTAGATCATGATCATATTATGTTATCTAATATCAATCATTATCTCCTTGGTATCATGATATTCATATGATCGTGCTGATAAAGTGTAAATTTGATTTTCTTCAATCGTTAAGAGTTCATTTTACTGTACAAGTGTTGCCGTAATTATATGTCGCAATTATAATTTTGAAATATGAATGTAAATGTATTTATTCCTGTTATATTCTGGCCCGTTTCCTTGGTCCAGTGGTCAAGACATTGTTCTAATAGCCAGTGACCCTTGTTCGATTCCCGGCGGAGTCATTTTTCCACATTCGCAATCAATTCCGAAAAGGGATGACAGCAACTAAAAGTATCTAGGAAATCAATGTATTTCCCTGGCTTTGGATTTCTTTTTTGTCTTCGATTTTCATACTTACTTTCAAAATAATCTTTCAACCTTAAATTCCTGCAAAATTCAGAATCATCTTATTTTTATGAAACTGCGGACGTAGTAAAAAAAGTTAATTTCAAGGATTTGTATTTCAATTGTTTTAATCAGCATTAATATACTCTCTTAGAGTAGGTTAGATAGAAACTTTATAATGGAAAAATATGCATCAGTATTAACAAACTTGACACTTCTGTGGCGTGGGAAAGTGGTGTACCCTATTGTTCAGTGCTATCGTAAACAGACAGTAAGGTGGCAATTTAATTGTACTGAAAATTCAATAACCAACAGATGGAGCATTCTCTTTTATACAAATATTGTTGTATTAACAACAAAAAAATCCACACTGTAGGCCTAGGCATACATACATGTACATCACACGCAATAGATCCAAGATTTAATACCAGCGAGAGCCCCCCCCCCCCCCACGTTCGGAATCGAATAGGGCTGCTGCTATCAGGGGCGTAAATCTCGGGGGGATGGGGGGGCTGCATCCCCCCCTGGCTTGAAGTAGGGGGATGGCCTGTACAAACATCCCCCCTGATATTACCAAAAAAAGAGAGAAAAAAAAGGAAGAAGAAGAAGAAAAAAAATGTGATGGTTTCAATTTCAGCATAATGCATGAGAAATGAGTTATTTTTTATGTATGTATAACTGTATAGGCTACACGCATACAGTATTTCACCATCATTAAGAACAAGCACTTCATAAACTTCAGAATAATTTTTCGTTATTTTGCAAGGTTTAGCCCAGACGTAAAATGCGCCAGCGCGCGAGCGCTTAAAAAGTGCAATCATGTACAGTAGATGCCCGGCTCCCCCCCCCCCCCACTTAGTGTTATTTAGGGTACGCGTATGCTCGTTCCCTCCCTTTGATTAGCACCCCCCCCCCACCCTATCTCAGGACTGCCAACATTTCTGAATCCCCCTTTCGCCGGCTTTTCGCTGGCTTTTCCTGCCTTGGAGACCCCCCCCCCCCCCCCCCCCCAATTTCAGGTGAGCTCTAGTTGATCGAAGGGGACTGGGAGCCAATGCTTTTACTTTTCAAAATGAAATAATCCTGAATGAGCTTTCAAAGCTAGCAGGAATTTCAGGAATTTGAGCCCGGGATTTGATCAACTTTTCTATGATATTCAAGATATTTTATAACCTCCTTTTTACATTTCTCAGGAGTCCAAAGAGAGAGAGAGAGAAAAAAACCCACCCCCTTTTTAAAGAAATTAAGAGTCGAGAATGGTTCAACCAATCGTTTTTTTTCTCTAATGATTTAATGAAACGTAAAAGCTTCCGCGCTTCGCGAGGGGGGGGGGGGGGACTGAATTCAGACGAGGATTATTTTCGAGAACGGTACAACGAATCGTCTTCTTTCTCTAATAGTGTTTATTGTTTGTTCGTTTGTGTGTGTGCGTGTGTGTGTGGGTGATTGTGTGCGTGTGCGTGTGTGCGTGTGTGTGTTGTGTGTTGTGTGTTTGTGCGTGCGCGATCGCGCGCGATTGCGTAAATTAGTGTGGGCGTGTGCTCGTGCTGGTATGTGATGGCTATCGCCGATCATCCCCCCGCCCACTCCTCGGTACGGATTTACGCCCCTGGCTGCTATTATCTCCCAGGAAAGTACCCTATATAGTACATGTACATTCTTTTACCGTGTGCGTAGGCCATTTAAGGGTTTTTAGAGGGTAGATTTTCCAAATACGAACTTGTTTATAATGCTTAAAATTAGTTTTTAATGTAATGGTAGTTGACATATTATAGCACAGGAAACCATTTATCCAGGCGCGTATCAAGGATTTTCCAATAGGGGGGGGGGGGGGCGGAAATTTGAAAATCGCACAGACCGTTATTTTATTAATTCAAGATCCCAATACCTACAAGGTCATATTAGAAGCACCGTACCGGTAACTACCAGCGGGCACAGGCTTTGGAAATGGGGCAGGCTCACGCCACGTCACCGTCACTTTAAAGGTACCGGAAATACAAAGTTTTGGGAAATTTTGAAAATTGGGTGGATAGTGATTCTTTACAATTTTAATATGTTTGGATGCCCTGTGGATGTAGAATAAGCACTAGAAAATTTAGCCCCTAAAACACTTCTGCTTTTGAGAAAAATTGAATATAAAAATGTACCGATGCTCCAGGTAAATTTTGATAAATTTCAAATTGCGCCTACGGCTGTACAATGGTAGCTGCGACCGTGAAAATTTCAGAA